CACCGGGTGGTGATGTTAGCCCCAGGCTCCGGTTAGCTTCCAGCTGAAAGGCTACAGCACTCTCCTCCCAGTCCCACCCTGCTAAAGAGGGCCTGGAAAAGTTCCCCCACACATCAAAGTGATTTTTCATTTATGAGCTTTTATAACCTTGTTAATCAGGATAGTTGATTTGCTGCTGCACATAAACTGTCAGTCAGAAGCTCTGCTAGCCGGTTATCTTAGAGGAGCTAGTTCAATTTGTTAGCTTGTTATCAGAATCATAGTTGCAGTTTCATCATCTGAGCTGCTTTTTAAGATCTAGGTAAACTTGTTCAATTTGGGGTTAAAAACAAACGTTTTCACATATTTTCCATGTAGTTTTTTGCCAGTTCCTCTTCTGAAAGGTAGACAATTGTTTTTCTTTTTCCCTCAGAAAATCTTAATGTTCTCCTAGTTTGGCCCGGCACAGTTCACTTCCCAGTTACAGCAACAGCCTTATATCATAACCACATAAGTGGAGAAAATGTTCAGTAGCAATGAGAGAATTTGCTGTTGCATGTAAGTGATGTTAACTATTATTTAACATTTAAACTTATTTTCTGATATTTTTATTTATTCAAAAACCCTGGTAAAGGATGTTTTTCTGTATTTGGAGCATCAGAAAAAGTTTTATGGTGGAGGTGATGTTTTAAAGTCACTGAGAAACTGCATGCTTGCAGTTTGTTGTTGTGCTGCTAATACAGTAGCATGTGTAACTGCTAATACAGTAGCAGGTGCAGCTGCTAATACAGTAGCAGGTGTAGCTGCTAATACAGTAGCAGGTGCAGCTGCTAATACAGTAGCAGGTGCAGCTGTTAATACAGTAGCGGGTGCAGCTGCTAATACAGTAGCGGGTGCAGCTGCTAATACAGTAGCATGTGCAGCTGCTAATACAGTAGCACGTGTAACTGCTAATACAGTAGCAGGTGCAGCTGCTAGCAGGTGTAGCTGCTAATACAGTAGCAGGTGCAGCTGCTAATACAGTAGCAGGTGCAGCTGCTAATACAGTAGCGGGTGCAGCTGCTAATACAGTAGCGGGTGCAGCTGCTAATACAGTAGCGGGTGCAGCTGCTAATACAGTAGCATGTGCAGCTGCTAATACAGTAGCAGGTGCAGCTGCTAATACAGTAGCAGGTGCAGCTGCTAATACAGTAGCATGTGCAGCTGCTAATACAGTAGCGGTTGCAGCTGCTAATACAGTAGCAGGTGCAGCTGCTAATACAGTAGCGGGTGCAGCTGCTAATACAGTAGCACGTGTAACTGCTAATACAGTAGCAGGTGCAGCTGCTAGAAGGTGTAGCTGCTAATACAGTAGCAGGTGCAGCTGCTAATACAGTAGCAGGTGCAGCTGCTGATACAGTAGCAGGTGCAGCTGCTAATACAGTAGCGTGTGCAGCTGCTAATACAGTAGCATGTGCAGCTGCTAATACAGTAGCAGGTGCAGCTGCTAATACAGTAGCAAGTGCAGCTGCATATTTTTGCAATAAAAATGTTATGTTGTAATGGAATTCATGCATTAGTTTTTGTTTGCTTTGAACCCAGAGCAGACGTCACACGCCAGACGACATCAACACTGCATACTTTAGTATTTGTTCATTTATCGTGAGTAATATCGATATTGCAATATTAAGCACTGTTATCGAATATCGCAGGTTTTCCTAATATCGTGCAGCCCTACTTCTGATTAAATTAATTCATATGTTACCATCAAAGGGATGTAGTTGGTTGGAATGTTTAAATTCAATTTTGCATTTTTAGCTACAAACATTTATTTTAGTTGGATTTTTATTCATTCATTAGTAAATGGCATTGCATTTCACAAAACAAGTATAGTGGAGAAGAGATTAAAATATCTTATATCATTCATTCACAAACATAAATACAATCAAGTGCTAATAATAACCAACTGTAGCTGTTAAAACCCTTAATATGATAAATTACATAATCTAGTTAATATGTTACTGTAACCGTCTCAGTAGCCCAGTGGTAGAGTTTCCTCCCTGGGACTAGAAGATCGGGGTTCAAATCCCGTTCGTGTCATACCAAAGACTTTAACATAGGGACTCAATGCCTCCCTGCTTGAAAAAGTTTCCAAGCGCATTCACAGCTGCAGCTCAGCTCAAATGCTGAGATGAATTTCACCAGTGTGTGATGATTTAAGGGGACTGCAACTTTTAAATCTTTTAAATTCAAGCTTCATGTCTAGTTCTGAACTTCAATCAAAGAATGAATAGAGAAAATATTTATACAAAACACAAGTAGATGGATGTCAACATAAGACCTGATTAGAACAATTAATTAGTGCAAAGTGAAGTAAAAACATGGAGGTGTTTACCTGCAGGCCAAGAGGTTTCCAGCGTACATTCCTGAGCAGAGCTGGTGTGGAGCTCAGGGTGTTCTGTGGCCTTTTCTTCAGCGTGAGGATGACTCCACATGGATCTTCTCTTAGAGCATTTACCAGGTTCTTCAGCTGCCATCCCACCTGAAGAGAAAACACATCAAGGCAGTGAATCTGCTTCTGTATAACGCCACACACACACATGCACACACGCACAGAAATATTGGGGGCTCATCCGGGATGTAGGAAACACTTTCATTTGTAGCAGCATCTGATTAAATATCTTAAAACAGGATTTGAAAAATAAAATAAAAATTATATATATATATATATATATATATATATATATATATATATATATATATATATATATATATGTATGTATGTATGTATGTATGTAGTGGCGGCTCCAGAAATGTTTTTCTGCAGGTGCTATGAAGGAGCTAGTCTTTTTAATGAGGGTGCTAAGAAGGAAGTGGTCATGCGTACCTATTGTTCTCTAAAACACCTTCAACACTAGCAGATACACATGCGTGCACAACACCTCAACAACACCTGAAACAATCATTAATATACATCATAAACATATGAACAATCGCTGACCTTTCCATGAAATCATAAACACATACAGCCACACAGAAAACCATCTATAGTGTTGCAAGGTTAGCTAACGTTAGTGTTAGCATTTCCAGCGGCAAAACCCTGGACTGCTGCGGCGGTTGAGGGTTGACTCTCTTCATCTAGATCCGTAGTTTTTTGTGGGTCTGAGATCACTTCCAAACATTCATTCGTTTCTGACTGAACCCGTGGAAATGTGGGCAACAAAAACCGATCCGTTTTACCACTAGCTCTACCTTTCACTCGTTCACAGGTGGAAAATGAGGTCAAAGGTTATCATCAATTTCCTGTTTTGGTTTAAGTTTTTACTATCTATATGATAATTTACTGATTATTTTTGTTTTGTATGTTAAATATTATCACATCCACACGTTCAATTAAAATTAAATTGTAAAAAAAAAAATCTAATATTTACTTGGGGGTGCAATGACTAATCCAGGGGTAGCTATAGCGCCCCCCTGGCACCACCACTGATATATCCAATCCAATCCAATCCAATCCAATTTTATTTATAAAGCGCATTCACAAGGCATTACAACCAAACAAGGCGCTGTACACTAAAAATGTTAGTTAATTAAACCGGCGTTATACAAACATGTCGAACACAGATAAAAGATAAAAAGGAAATACAACAAAATTCCCAAAAATAACAGCTAAAAATCAATAAGACACAGGGTGAATAAAAATTAGAAAAAACATTTTAAAAAAGAACCTCAATAGTACGGAAGTCGATAATTGTGGAGTCCATTTTTAAACAGTGCAGATGTCAGTGAGGTTCATAATTATGTTATATAAGCTAGGTTGAAGTAGTGAGTTTTCAGGCGTGATTTAAAAATGCTAGCTGTTGGTGCTAGCCTCACTAGCAGTGGTAATGCGTTCCACAGCTTCGATGCACAGACAGAGAAAGCCCTTTCTCCACGGCTTTTTAAACGTGCATTGGGAACAGCTAGGAGGAGCTTATCTTCAGACCTGAGAGCACGCGGCGGGTTGTAGTAATGGACAAGTTCACACAGATATGGAGGAGCTTGATGGTTCAAGGATTTGTAAGTGAGAAGCATAATTTTGAAGTTTATCCTGAACTGCACGGGCAACCAGTGGAGAGATTTCAGAATTGGAGAAATGTGTTGTCTTCTGTCAGCTCCAGTCAGCAACCTAGCTGCAGAATTCTGGACCAGCTGAAGTCTAGAAAGAGCTGCTTTACTGATGCCGTATAAGCAGGAGTTAGAGTAATCCAGCCTTGAGGTGATAAAAGTGTGGACCACAGGTTTCAGAAGACGTACACTCAGGATGTGCTTTAGTTTTGAGATGCGTCTTAGTTGGTAAAAACATGATTAAACTGTGTTATTGACCTGGACATCCATCTTCAGAGCCTGGTCCATTTTTACTCCAAGGTTGGAGATTACAGAGGATACATTAGGTGAGAGATAGTTGAGGTCAAGTTGATGAGTCGCTGTGGTACTGTAAGGACTGAAAACGATTAAGTCAGTTTTGGAGTCATTAAGATGGAGGAAGTTGTCAGCTAGCCATTGCTTGACCTCAAGGATACAATCAGACAAAGCTTTCGTTGATTGAGTTGGCTTAAATGAAAAATAGATTTGACAGTCGTCAGCGTAAAGATGGTATGAGACAGCGTGCTTTCTGAAAATGGCTCCTAAGGGCAGTATATAGAGGTTGAACAGTAACGGGCCGAGAATTGAACCTTGTGGGACACCCCAACGTAGTGGCTGTGACTCAGATGAACAGCCATCCAACATGACCCTAGCAGACCTGTTACAAAAGTATGACCTGAACCAATCCAGGGCTGTGCCTGAGATAACAGCCCAAGTGTGAAGTCTTGTGATCAGAATGTCATGATCGATCGTGTCGAATGCTGCAGATAGATCCAAAAGTACCAGAACCACATGGAAACATATGTGTGTGTGTGTGTGTGTGTGTGTGTGTGTGTGTGTGTGTGTGTGTGTGTGTGTGTATAACAACTAAGAAATCTAATAAATTAGGGGCTGATTCCTTTTAATTTCTTTGTGTAAAATTAGTAATTTTAAGAACGAATGGGAGACATCTTTATGTGTATAAATGTTGTTGTAAAAGTGATGGTCTGTAACAAAAGGTGCAAAAGCAACGGGATGAAACACATGTGGGCATGAATACACACACACACACACACACACACACACACACACACACACACACACACACACACACACACACACACACTGCATTTACTGCACTGCAATCACCATGATGGCACTACGTTAGTATGTACAGTCTATGGTTAGAACATGGATCACATCTCATTTGTGAAAAAGACTGTGTAGTCGTGTGAGGTTTTTGCTTCTGACCTATATTATAGCGGTCCTGATTAATGCAAAATGATATGACATCAATACCTCCATAATCAGTATTATCCCATAAGAAGAGTATGCCAGTGAACACAAACCTCTGGAAAGGAAGTGGGTGAAAGAGGCTAAAAAGTGTTTCAAAATTAACCTGAACCAGTCACAAAGCCCTGTGGTCTGCAGCAATGGTGGACCAGTCAGCCCAGTTTTTACCTCTTTGTCAGCAAGTTTGCACTCACACACACACACGTACTGATGGAGACAATTTCCTTTTATGTTTCTCCATTTGTGTGTCAGTGTTGCAAAGTAATTCACCTCCAGGACAGCAGGGGGCACTGACCTTTTCTGGTGGCTCTACCTGTCGTTGCAGTGAGATCTCTGGCTGACAAATTTATTTAATTTAGCTTGTTAACAAATATCTAGACAGAGTTGTGAATTTAAGTAAAAAATTTTGATTCTTGTGTTGACATCGGAATTTGTCATTGTTTCCATTTTGTTAAATAAAGTTTTATAAAAGCTTGTAAAACCAATCTGCTCCAGGAGCAGGAATACAGTCTCGAGGAATACATACTTTTTTCACAAAAAATTCAAAGGCAGGTGAGCTGTTGGCTGCTGTTTTGGGCTGACCAATCCCAAACGTAAACTCTCCGTTGCGTTTGACGAATAGACAGACAGAAACATACGACCCAGGCTTAGTCAGAGGGGGTTGAAGAGCACAAGCATCCTGCTGGCTCAGGCCAGTGAGTCTAGAGCTCACAGCGCTCATCAGGTCACTGACTGGCAACATTGGTCTCAGTTACTGGCAACGCCCACAGAGGCCTCTACACACACACACACACACACACACACACACACACACACACACACACACACACACACACATGCATTCACATCGATGATGCATATATGTGCTCTGAATTGTTCCTCCAGCCAGTAGTGGCCCATTTCCTGTTGCTTCCAGCCCAGATTAGAAGCCCTGAGTACAACCAGCTGCAACAAGAGTCCTGATTCAGCTAAGTTAGCCGTATGTTTAGTCCCCATCTGCTTTCTTGGACTAGAAAGATCTGAAAAGGAGGGTATACATGAAAAACATTCTCTATAACAGTGATATGTGATGGGATCAGTGAATTCAAGCTTTTCCAAGGTGGGTCACTGCTGAAAAATAAAGAAGTGATCATTAAATTAGACTGGCTTTGGTTGTGAAGGACCTTTTTACAGTGACCATATGTTGTTCCCTACTTGCTACTTTGAGTCATTAAACATTAAACATCTATCTAGATTGAACCTTGTGCTGGTCACCCTTCTCCATCAGTCATTGGGTGAGAGGTGGTACACCTGGACCGGTCACCATTTCATTTAAAGTAAAGTCACCAAGGATAGGTCTAAAGATGGGCAGCGTGGGGGTAATAGCTGAGTGACTCATTAATAGATCATATCATGAGGCCAAGAAAGGCAATTTTCTGTTTATACCAGCTCCTCAGAAGTTACTATAGTGAAAAATACTCCTGCCTAGCATGAAAAGCACGAGAGGACGAGAGTTTATGCAGCAACAGGGCAGCAGATTTACTGCTTATCTGTTTTAGTTTTAAGTGGTTTATGGCTTGCAGACACGTGCAACACCCTGCATTTATACCTTTTTGTGCAATCTGTGCAGAAGGCAACAACTTGCAAAAATTATAGTCAGCTAAACTAAGCTAATCCTCTTTTAGCTTCAGTTCCCAGCCCACTCAATGGGAATGCAGGTGGTGTCAATCTCAAGACACACTTCTTGGGATAAAGTCTAACACTGCATCATCCAGAACCTTCCACGCATGCAACCTAAACATGAGAAGCCTGTTAAGGGTTGGTTACTTCATAAGTTTGTTCTAACAAACAGAACTGAATTACATACAATGCACATGGGCAGCATGGCGGCACAGTGGTAAGCACTGTTGCCTCGCAGCAAGAAGGTTGCAGGTTTGAAACTTGGCTGCTGCCTTTCTACATGGAGTTGCATGTTCTCCCCATGCATGTGTGGGTTTCCTCTGGGTACTCCGGTTCCCCCTCAAATCACAACATGCCCTATAGGTTAAAAATTGTGCGTCGCTTTGGATAAAAGCAAAGAAACATTAACCAATTTCCCAATGCTTGACACTCAGCTTTAAGGGATTGGGGGGTTAAACCACCAAATAGTTCCAGAGCGCAGCCACT